ATCGGGACCTCGTACAGAGGTCCCGTCCAACGATCGGTGTTTCACTGTGTCCGGAGGACACAGCGGGCACCGGATCGCGGTGCTGCGTTCCCCAGGGAGCGCGCACAAGCAGGGTGCGGGGAGGCCGTTTATAGATGGCCACCCGACCCTGCAATGCCACCGTCCGGCCGTTTATATACAACGGCCGGTCGGGAAGTGGTTAACTACATTCCAAACAGAGGATATTGACATCTGAAACGCTTTGCTATCTTCTTATAGCCTTCTCCAGCTTTGTGAGCGTCAACTATTTTCAGTTTCAGTTTTCTAGACAACTGCTTAGAAGAACCCATGGTGCTGATTGTTGGGGCAAGGTCAGATGAGTCTGGGCATTTAAAACCTTTGAGATTGACATCACCTGGTCTTCCCAGACGATGATTGAGAACAATCCATGACACTTGCAGGTCTCAGCTTTGCAAAGGGGGCAGTGCATGCTATAAATTCTGCAGGGTGCCCAAACTTTTGCAGACGCCATTTTTTTGTTTTCTGTTATTTTGAAATTGTAAATGATGGAAATAAAATCTAACTTTTGTTGACATATTATAAGAATATCTAATCTGTAATTTGATGCCTTTTGGATATTTTTCCATCTTTCCTTGGCTTCTTTATGCACATTAATACAAATTTTTAGCTGGGGTGCCCAAACTTTCGATCCCCACTGTATATGAGGTGGAGTCGAAGAACTTTTGGCATGGATCTGATAATAGAAAATTGAAAAGATATCCCTGCACTACCTGTAACAATAAATTTATATTCTCTTCTAAATCTCAATGGGAGCACTTAACACTAAAGTGCACTCACTAAACAGTGTATAAGCATATTTTTAATACATTTGATGTGTTTTCTTTACAAGGCCATTGCGCTCTGGTTTTTCTCATACTGTATATATCTAACAGAACTACACTATCTATGGTGCGAAAATGTAATCATTATACTGTATATCAAAGGTATCAAACTGGTGGCCCTCCAGCTGTTGCCAAATTACAAGTCCCATGAGGCATTGCAAGGTTGACAGTTACATGCATGACTCCCAAAGGCAGAGGCATGATGGGATTTGTAGTTTTGCAACAGCTGGAGGACCGCCAGTTTGACACCCCTGCTGTATATGAGTCATTAATATCTGCACTGCTACTCTATAACTCTGTGATGCTATGCATTAGGAAAAAAGTTTCACTTTGAGTGAATTGAGTCCAATTCTACACAAAAACAAGCATGGTCTTTTACCTTAGATTGTACGCTCCTTGAGGGTTAGGGACTGATGTGAATGTACCATATATATGTGTAAAGTGCTGCGTAAATTGATGGCGCTATATAAGTACCTGAAATAAATAAATAAATAAATTTGCTCATCTGAAGACTTTCCTATCTTACTCAAGTCCCAGAAACACATTGACTTGTTACACATGCTGCAGACACAGCAAATTTAAAGGTTGATGAGAGATCCAACCCTGAGAGTGTCAGAATACTCCAATAGTTTCTGCAGTTGATTGGCTACTGGTGCTGTTTGGCCAACAATTTTCCTTGTTCAATAGTTTATATTACATTTTAATGGAATTTACCAAATACCCACAGTAATACATAACGGAGTAGAGTATACAAAAGGCAGCAGTAACCACAGGCAATGAGTAAATCTTAAGCACGAGTATAGAAAAAAAGGCGTAAAAAGTTACATCTGTGATGGGAAATGCGCAGGATGATGAGATCATCAGATTAAGCTATGAAGCTGAGATCAGAGTGATACCAAAATATAGACTTTCTGAATACATATGATATTTGTCATTTGGAAGATTAAGAAGGACTAATGGAGATATCTTAAGAAGTTGGAGGAAGTAAAAAAAGGCAATAGAAAAGAGGAAGTGAAAGACAGGAGGGGGGCAGGACTGAAAATTTTCAGACTCAGAGGAATCGACCAAAATTCCACCAGTGCATGGCCAGCTTACTACAATTGATTACATTCTGTGTATAAACTTTACAGGGCCACTGTGCTTTATTGTGTTGTGTTGTATGACTATATTTCAGTGGATCATCAAAATCTTAGACATGTAGATATTTGTACATGGCGTAACTGATATCTCTGAATTTGCTGTATGCTGGGGTGTTTTGGTTATTTAAAATAGGGAAAAATTAGACAATTTAAAACATATTTACTACGGTCTGTGTACCAATTAGGGAGATTTTGTCTCACTTCTTGTCCAGATGACACCCTGTTATACTCTGACACTGGGGAAGGAAGTGAGGGCAGCAGTAAACACCTGAGAAAAGTTACTATACCGTTCTTCGGGCCTACGAAGAGACATGTTTTTTGATACTTGTCATTCGGACAGGAGGTAAGAAGTAATTTCTCAAATGGGACATAAAGAGGACAGGATATGAGGGAAAATCTTCACAATGGAGAAGGCAATAAAAACTACATAAAAGTTGAAATCCTTCCTCCAAAACTAAAAAAAAAAAATAACTAGAGTTGAGATTTTTTTTGTGCTGCTGGCTGAATATATATTCAGGTTGTAATTGTGTGTTTATACATTTATACATACAGTACATACTAAGGCTAAGTTTTACCTAACGTCCAACAATGAGTATTATATTCCTTTTTTGATCCTCTTTGGATCACAGACATTCACCGCATTCTATAAGTTCTAGGGAACAAACTAAACATTGCTTTATTCACCATTTCTTTCAGTTTAGACAGAACATTGCTATAAAAAGTAAATCATTTCTCAGGAACACAGAAAGGCATTTGTAGGCTTCTAACAAATGTATGTAGGAAAAGCTGGAAAATCTCACGCTCATGTCACAATAAATGTTCAATCAAAAGAGAACAAAAATTTCCCAAATGTGTAACCATTTAATTTCTGTTGAAGGTTCAACCAAAATAGGCAATCCTTTTAGGCATCTCTTATGTTTGAGTGCAATGCAGCCTCAGATTTGTTTTGTATTTGAATTCCACTGGGTTAGAGGACTTGTATGGGAACCACTCAAGAAAATGTACAATTAATTAATGTGGTGACTATGCTGTGATCTGCAAAAAAGCATTTTCCATTTACTGTAGCTTAACGATTTTCAGGCATCATTCACTTAATGACTATAGTTGCTTTGTTTAAAGAGACCCTATCACCAGACTAATGATTTCAACAAATATCTACCTATAGGTGTATATGCACATTTATTTAATTCATTCTCTTCACCTGTAAAAACCTTCTTGTGTAGCCATCCAAAAGCCCTGAGGCTGCTTCTGGGTGCTGCCTTCTTGGATGTGATCCATATATGTGCATCTTGCCAAGGTTGACTGGATAAACACCAACATCCCTAAAATTCCAAATAACCAAAAATGTCCTCAAACATGGAACTTTAAAGTGTTACTAAACCCAGGAACCTGCATCCACTATATCTGGTCTCCGTCAGTACACAGAACATGGAAATGCAATTATTTTAGTACATATAAACTTCTAAATACCTTTTCTCATCGGACGTTAGAGCAGTCTTGTGACTTCTATCAGTGTTCAGCCAAGCACTAGCTAAAGCTTGTAGGAGGAGTTTTCTTTCTGCTCTAGGAGGATGCAAACCCCTTGACCTCTATCTGACCAGTGCTGATTGGCCCTGTGCTGATCACATGCATTCTCCAAATAAAAAAAAAACTCTCTAGCAGTACACATCAAACTGAGCATGTGCAAAATGCCTACGGTTCAGGCTGTCTTATCAGGAGATAAGAGGTGGTCACTTGAAAAAGGGGAGGAACAGAGAAGAAAGGATCAAACAGCCTTTTTACACAATGCAGAGGATTGACCCCCTAGGTTCCACAGTGAGTATAACAAGCATGCTTTACTGCATATACAGACTGAATTTACTGTTGTGGATTTAGTAACACTTTAAAGGTGGTTGGTGATACAATTCTTATACCATACTGCTAAAATCTATCCATTTATCATATTCAATTTTATGAATATAATAACTGGATACATTTTAGCAGTATGGTATATGAATTACATCAGTATGCATCGTTAAAGTGCCACATTTGAGGAAATCTTTGGTTCTTGGATGTGATGTCAGCAGCCCCAGCAGACTTAGAGCTCTCACAAAAGTGATATTCAATAATATTTTTCTTCACTTCTTTCATGGTTGCTATGTAACCATTTGCCCTCTAGAGGATTTACCCCCCCCCTTCCTGACCAGGCCATTTTTTACGGCACTACATTTCTTTAACTGACAATTGCGCGGTCATGCAACGCTGCACCAAAAAAGAAAATTTTTGTCCTTTTTTTCCCCACAAATAGAGCTTTCTTTCAGTGGTATTTGATCACCTCTGCATTTTTTATTTTTTTTTGCTCTATAAACAAAAAAAGGCCGACAATTTTGAAAAAATATATATATTTTTGACTTTTTGCTATTAAACGTCCTGTAAAAAAAATTAAAAAAAATTTAATTTCAACATAAATTTAGGCCAAAATGTATTCTGCTACATGTCTTTGCTGAAAAAAAATCCCAATACGTGTAAATTACTTAGTTTACGTGAATGTTATAGTGTTTACAAATGGCGGTATATATACTGGAATTTAAAAAAGAAATTTTAATACTAGTAATGGCGACGATCAGCGACTTATAGCTGCACTGCGGTTGGCATTCTGACACTGGGGAGAACTGACTTGGTGTCACTGACATCCCCAGTGACACCAATACAGTGATCAGTGCTAATAAAATACAGTGATCAGTGCTACAATCTCCTACATTGTAAGCTCCAGGGAGCAAGGCCGTCGAACCCCTCATGTATTGTATTGTATTGTATTGTTACTGTGCTGTCTCGTGTACTGTCTCCCATTATATTGTACAGTGCTGAGCAAACTGTTGGCGCTATATAAATACTGTATAATAATAATAATAAAAAGCAGTGACACTGTACTAATGGCACTGGGCAGGAAGGGGTTAACATTTGGGGCGCTCAAAGAGTTAACTGTGTGCTGTTTTACTAGGGGATGTGTGTGTGCTTTACACTATAAGCACACTGCTTTGCATGGCTGTGCTATGCAGAGCCATACAAAGCAGTGTGCAGGATCTGACAGGGTAGAGATCTGTGTTGTTCATATACACAGGTCTCTTCCCCGTCGGTAATAATCGGCGATCGCCCGGAGCCGACGGAGAATGACCGTCTGGGATCCAGTGATTGGCAGTCGAGGCTGCGAATGGCAGCACGAGAAGCTTCCCTACCCGGAACTCCAAAATCACGTGAAGATACGTGATTTTGCGCACCTGTGCTGCCCTGTAGCAGTATTTCTGCTATAGGGCAGTGCGGAAGCGGTTAAAAAAGTTATGTAGGGAGGGGAGGGTAGAGAAGCTGGGCCAGCAGAGACAGTAAGTGGACACTCCCTGAAGAGGAGAGGGCTATGATATGCAAGGAGGGAGGGGCTGTGATAGGAAATTGACTCCTCTAAAGTAGTCAGATTTTCTTGGAAGCTCAGAGGCACATGGCAAGTGAATAAGAAATTGTTTATGCAAAGGAAAACCACTGCATGTATTTAACCACTTCCTGCTGGAGCTATGCATATCCAGTTAGGTCCATATATATTTGGACACAGGCACAAATTTAGTATTTTCAGGTATTTACCAAAAACATATTCAAATTATAGTTATATAATGGATATGGGCTGAAAGTGCATATTCTCAGGTTTAATTTGAGGGTATGTACATCCAAATTGGAGGAAGGGTTTAGGAATTACAGCTCTTAAGAGTAGCCATTCCCCCATTTTAAAGGGACCAAAAGTAATTGGACAATTGAATCAAAAGCTGGTTCATGGCCAGGTGTGGGCTACTCCAATATTTCTTCATTAATTAAGCAGGTAAAAGGTCTGGAGTTGATTCTAAGTGTGGTATTTGCATTTGGAATCTATTGCTGTGAACCTACGTCATGCATTCAAAGGAGCTGTCCATGAAAGTGAAATAGGCCATTGTAAGGCTTCAAAAATGAAACAAATCCATCAGAGAGATAGCGGCAACATTAGGAGGGGCCAAATCAACAGTTCGGTACATTCTGAGGAAAGAAGAATGCACTGAAGAGCTCAGCAACATAAAAATGCATGGACGTCCACAGAAGACAGCAGTGGATGATCTCAGGATCCTCTCTATGGTAAAGAAAAACCCATTCACAACATCCAGGAGGTGGGCGTATCATTGTTAAGGTCTACAATCAAGAGAAGACTTCACGAGAGCAAATGCAGAGGGTTCACCACAAGGTGCAAACCATTCATAAGCCTGAAGAATAGAAAAGCCAGATTAAACTTTGCCAAAAAACATCTAAAAAAGCCTGACCAGTTCTGGAAAAGCATACTTTGGACGAATTAAACTAAGATTAATCTATACCAGAATGACAGGAAGAAAAAAGTGTGGAGAAGGCTTGAAACAGCTCACGATCCAAAGCACACAACATCATCTGTAAAACATGGTGGAGACAATGTGATGGCAATGGGCATGCATGGCTTCCAGTGGCACTGGGTCATTGGTGTTTATTGATGATGTGAAAGAAGACTGAAGCAGCCAGATTAATTCTGCAGTGTTTAGAGATATACTGTCAGCCCAGATTCAGCCAAATGAAGCAAAGTTGATTGGACGGAGCTTCACAGTACAGGTGGACAATGATCCAAGACACACTGCAAAAGCAACCCAGATTTGAAGGAAAAGAAGTGGAATATTCTGCAAAGGCTGAGTCAATCACCTGATCTCAACCCAATTGAGCATGCATTTCACTTGCTGAAGGCAAAACTAAAGGCAGAAAGACCCACAAACAAAGAACAACTGAAGACAGCCGCAGTTAGCTCCTGGGAAAGCATCAGAAAGGAGGAAACCCAGTCTTTGATAATGTCCATGGGTTCCAGACTTCAGGCAGTCATTGCCCATAACAAATTCTCATCAAAATATAAAAAAATAACATTTTCTTTATGACTATATTCATTTGTCCAATTACTTTGAAAAAAGGAGGATGGCTACACTTAAGGGCTGTAATTCCTAAACCCTTCCTCCAATTTGGATGTACATACCCTCAAATTAAACCTGAGAGTGTGCACTTTCAGCCCATATCCATTATATAACTATAGCTTGAATATGTTTTGGTAAATACCTGAAAAAAAACTAAAATTGTGCCTGTGTCCAAATATATATGGACCTAACTGTATGTGGCCTCTCAACGGGTGGGCTTTACCGCCGAGCAGCTGCACATATGGGTCCCTATGTAAACACATTACTGTGCTCCCAGCACAGTAACCGACACTTGCAAAAAGAAGCTTTCATGTGACTGCTGTGGCTGCCAGTCATAGGTGGTCACATGATCAGAATGCCCATCTCTGCCTCCTGGCATTTAGAACCTCTTAAAGCAGTGGTCTCCAAACTGCGACCCAAGGGCCAGATGCGGCCCTTTGCTTGCCTTTATCTGGCCCTTAAGGCATTATTCCTGCCACCGACACCAACAGTGGGGCATAATTCCTGCCACTGACATCAACAGTAAGGCACTTTTCCTTCCTCTGACACCAATGATGGGACATAAATCCTTCACTGACACAAACAATGGGGCATTATTCCTCCCACTGACACCCACTATTTCTCTCCCTAATACCAAAGATGGGGCATTGTGTATTCCCACTGAGCACAATCCGGCCTCCTAAAGTCTGAAGGACAGTAAACTAGCCCTTTGTTTAAAAAGTTTGGAGACCCCCATCTTAAAGGGTCGGGCAGCGGCAGCAGAAAGGGGTTAAAACATCTGATTTTCAGTGCTTTTACCTGTATTTTGGTTTTGGGTAACAGGGTCTATTTAATTAACGAGACAGGCAAAACAACATCAAGTAATAATAGCCAATGCCTATTTGTGAAATCCATACTATTTCTGAGAAATAATTTCTAGTCATATCATTAGCTTTGGGCCTGAGAATCTCATTTCCTAAAATAACAATACATTTAATGTACTAAAGTAGTAATACTCGCATCAACGTACTCTTTAGGTTAGGAACAATTTCTTAGATTCCATTTAATGTGAGCTCAGATTACGGTAAAAAGAATTACGTTAGTCAATCAGAGACTAAGTCTCTAAGGAGTCTCTGGTCAGCCTACTGACACATCTGAACCATGCTTGAACTTGACCTGGGGTAAAGACACCTCACTCACACTAAATAAAAAAAAGTCTATGCTGGGACTTCTTCTAAAATTATTTTTTTTTTTTTTTTTTTTTTTTTTTTTATGAAGAAGGCCAGAGCCTAAACACTGTAAATTTACAATAGAACATGCAAATTAAATAAACATAAATATTGATACATGAGACGACAATGAAAATGACAGTTAGCCTGGGTTCACACCGATGCGGTGCAGAATTGGCAGCGGTTTCTGTGCAAATTGCGCACCGCATCACAATCACACCCCATTCATGCAATCCGCTGCGGGGGTGTGTGTTAACTTAACAACACCCCGAAATCGGTCTGCAAAACGCGGTGCGATGTGCAGAATCAGATCACATAGATGTGAATACCCATGCAATCCGATTCTAGTGTGGACCAAAAAAGGGTCCTGCACGGATGCAGTGTGATTTGACCCATACAAAATGTATGGCTCAAATCGCACCGCACAGAATTCGCATGTAAATTGCACAGGAATGCAGTGAGGTTCCAGTGCAAATCACATGCGATATGCCTCATCACAGAAGTGTGAACCCAGGCTGAATGTGCCATAACCAACGCGGAAATTACAATTCATCAGATCTCAGACATGCCAATTTTTGGTGAAGATCCAATAACAACGTACCAGTCATTAGCCCCTCAAATTTACTTGGCCTAGTAGTCTTGCCCAAACTATAATCAATCGCCATGAAAGGGAAGGTCCCCCATGACTCTGGCATCTCCCCCTTCATCATCTCCAAATCTTTGTTGTTGAGCCAGCTTGGCAATGTCAGGAGCCTGACGGACCAAATACAAATATTGTAAAGCTAAAAACAGTCATCATAGACAAAGAAAACACACGCCAACGTCGCAGAATTGCTACATCTGAGTCCCTCCTCCCAACACCACACTTTCTTCAACTGAAACTTACGGACTTCCTCTACAAGGTTCTTTTTTCATGAAAAATGACTGTTAAACAAAAAAATCCCTGTTACACAAAAAACTAACCTCCGAGTTGTCTAATCCCACCCCAGTCAAGCCTCCTTTATGTTAAGGGCTCCAGGGAGGTGCTGTCTCCTGTACCATGAACACCAGAACGTGTAAGGGTAGGTGTACATTAATGATCTGATGTTGCTTGAGCCCTGCCTGCAACTGTCAGCCTTTCAGTTCCTAAACAGGACCAGGAGCCGCCCCAATTAAACCTTGGAGAGAGCTTGTTCTAACAAGCTTAGCAGAAAGCATCTGAACAGAATTATATGTTTTTCTAAGTACATATGTTCACCCCAGGAGTGGTCCTCATAGGGAACAAAAACATTAAAAGCAGTGGTGGGGGGGATTGGGGCCTAGCCAGATGCAGAAAGGACAGCAGATACTAATGTTCCCATGCAGGTTTATATCTGATAGATGACAGAGACATTTCTCTGTGCTAACACATTTTACATCAACTCCACATTCACACGGGTACCTCAAATGTATTACTGTATATTGTGCTGCCCCTTTCATGTTCAGCAGTAAGTCATATGCTTGTATTGCTGGTAACTGCTGTTAGAACTCCACTTGAATGCATACTGTTCTCATTTTCTTGAATTTAATTCTGTTAGGCCTCATTCTGTTAAAACAGCCAAAGTTCTATCTACAGCAGGAATGCTTTCAGTGTGACAAGCAATAGAAAGCCAATAAGCAGCCAGGGTCCAAATGTTGCAGATGGCCTTCGCATTATCTCCCTGAATTACCTGCCTCCAACTGGGACATGTGAACGGGGCTATTTGGTGTAGTGTACCCTTTTAGACTCGGTTTTTGCGGAGTGCCTGGTAGAGGTCATGAATTCCTGCCAAGTACCCAGAAAGGGCCACAGTGTGCAAAGACCCCTGAAGAAGTCAATATTAAATAATGTGTCCTGTATCTATTTTATCTGGATAACCATAAACCC